AGTATTGGATTACAAATAAAAGTCATCAATACTGTAGCAGTTCTTTGACAGAAGAAGTTGCTTCAGTCTTGATTTAAAAATGTGTACATTTTCAGAATTTCTGATATTGTCGGGGAGTTTATTAAAAAGTTTGCAGCCTTGAAACTCAAAACTTCTTTGGAAAAGAGCAGTGCGATGTTGACTAGATAATAATAAGTGGGCATTCCGAGTAGAGTGATTATGATAGGCTCTGTTAGCAGCTAAAGTGTTTCTATTTCGATAGATATATGTGCAAGCTTCCATTATGTATACTCCTGCTAGCGTTAATATTTTCAAATGCTGAAAAGTTTCTCTACAAGAATCTCTATAGCCCAACTTAGCAATGATCCTAATAGCATACTTTTGTATAAAAAACACACGAGACACGGTAGAGGATGTGCCCCAGTTAAGGATGCCATATCTAAGATGCGAATTGAAGTTTGCGTAATAGACAGTTAATAAAATACTCTGACCACAATGGTGAGATAGAAACCTAAGAGAATAACAGGCTTTTCTAAGTTTATTACATAAGTGGTCAATATGTGTCTTCCATTGAAGTTTGTCATCAAAAACAACACCCAACATTTTTGTTGACTTGGTTAGGTTCAATTCTAAAGCAGTATCAACAAACAGATTCAACCCATTTTGTTGCCCAGTATTCATCTTGAAATTTAACAAGTTAGTTTTGGCTTCATTCAACATTAAATTGTTTTTCTTTGACTACATAATAACTTTTTTGTAGGTCTCTAGAGCTGTTGTTTTCGCGGAGTCCATATCGTTTTCAATAATTAATATATTAGTATCATCAGCATAACACGTACAGTGAATGGCCGAGTTCTTATTTAGGTACACTGATAAGTCATTGGCAAAAGCTGAATACAAGAAGGGTCCTAGAATGGATCCCTGTGGTACCCCATCCTCAATATTCCTTTCATTCCTGTTCATGAAACAGGTGTTTCCAAGATTTTTTAACCCATTGAACCCAAGAGTTTTGACTGAAGAATGTATCACCAATTTATTGTTGCAACTACGTTTTCCACTACTATCTTCTTCTGATTAAACACAGATCCGATGATTCATCCCTTCATTGGACTGGTAGGATAAGGAATTCAAATCAAAACTGCTCAAAACTGAATTTGATATTAGTTCTTTTGGGGACTGTGAGGGCTCAGCCAGAGGAACAAACTCAGCCTCATTTAGAGTTCCAACTTCCTTTTCTGTTAAAGCTTGACCGTTTTGCTGCGAGTCTTCCACCAAACTGCACAACTCCAGTTCTTGCACTGTCTGTACATGCCGATATATTTTGTTCATGGGAAACATTGGTCTTTCACTTAGGGTTTTTGATTGAGGAATTGTACCTAAACATTAAGCTGCATTTCCTCTTTGAATCAGAATGCTAATTTTTTGAATCAAGAAAGAGGTAGCTCTTGGGTCATTCGTCTCTTTAGATATCCTATTGCCGATTTCACGAATGAACTCCAATGCTTGGGGGCCTAAGGTACCAAATGTTTCAATTCCTATTGCATAAAAAATGAAATTATCTCCCAAATAATTGTATTTCCGTGTTTTTGACAATTCCGCTGATGNACCTACGACTTTGTAGGTACGGGCGGCAAATACTCGACGAAAAAACAACAACTAATAATGCAGCGAATGCCGCGCAGAAAGCCGAAATAAAAGAATCAGGCACCTGTTAAACGTCTTCCATTTGGAAGATTCATCGCAAGTAACTTCCTATATTTGAAAAACTAAAATTAGTTTCACTTGGTCGGGACAACCACTGATAAACCAGTTTCGAAGTACTTGCTCCTCGTCAGTACCGGGAAGGTCATTTCAGACGGAGTGAACCGTCTGAGTATCCCGAACAAACAAAATTAATTCCAACTAGTCATAAGCTCTATCTGAAGTTGATTCAGTAGAATATCCACTGCGCCACCTGCAGACAAATTCTGGAAACAACTCCACAAACACATACTCCGGGGTGGAATAATCTGCCACACTTATTTACAAAGTTGTAGGTTCACACGAGAGGCAAGAGGTAAGGTGTTTTTTACCTGAACTTGGGCATGTCATATAACCTTTCTGGAATATGTTTCATAAGAGTGTTTGGTGATAACCACTTTCCGTGTATATTTACAACTTAACAAGTTGGGTCGATACAGTGTTGTCAATCATTGCCACTCCAACTCAACTAATGTAAAGAACAGAAACGTTTTGTTTGTTCCAACATGATATATTCACAAAATAAACATACTTTTTTGACTATTAAAAAACGCACCAATTAAGTGACCGTTTCTTATTGAGTAAGTAATTAAATCAAATATCTCACACCTTCAAATTATTCCCAAATGACCAGATTCATAACTCACTACCTCTGAGACCAATCAAAGTTAAGCAAATTCGCAACCTCACAGTTTTTATTGAATGGCGGTATTGAAAAAGCAAACTGAAAAGTTCACCCTTTATTACACTTCAGCAGATTCTCTACTGACCCCCAGTTTTTTCAGCACACTCTTCTGAAGATTCTCAGGGCCATCCAGGCCTTATGGTTTGTTTTTTGAATGAGAAGATTCCACGTAATAGTGACTCACATCTTACGTTGATGTCGGTGCTCCCCCATAGTGTGGTGTGCATTGGCATTTCATACAAGTATTAGCTGGAGATTTTTATCTATTCTGAACATTGAAAAAAATTATAACTGCTTCTTTTGGATAGGTGAGAAACAGCTCTTACATTTTTTACATAATATACTGACTTTCAATTCCACGGACGTATTAAGTATTTCTTATGTATGAAAGTTTTTATTCATACTATGAACTTATATATCAATGTATTATTATTCAGTATCTCAAATAGAAGGAGGATGGTAAACTCTACGGAAGGTGCTAGAACAATGACTTACTGTAAGAATGAACAGTCAATGATGAATTTTATTCAATTCCAACTAGTATGAATATTGACTAAAAAAATTAATAAACCCATCTTAGATGAGATTAGTTACTTATTTTCAAATTGATTACTTCCTTCCTTTCTTTGGAAGATTCCCTCATCCTTCTTTGTATCAAGATGGAGTAGTAGAAAGCCAAAAACTTTCTTTCCCAAAAATTAATCACTTCTAAAAATATAACCCCTTCAATTCAAATCTCAAGCTTCTGGTAGGATACACTTGTTTTCACTCCAGAATTCATGTTTTCATTCCTGTTTTTCGATAGGAGCTATATATTTCAAAATTAAATGTCCGTTCAATGAACAAGTTTGAAGTTTGGAACTTATTTTGAAGTAAGAAATTCTTATACTTGCATTTAAAAATAACTTAAACACAACTGTTTAGTTACAAATTTGCTCATCTGTGATTGGTCTCAAAGGTGGCAAGTTATGAATCTGATCAACTGTGATTGATTCGAGTTGTGAGTTATGGATTATTTCGTCTCATACCCAACAATAAACAGTCAGATAATCAACTCATTTCTCAATAGTGACAGTTGCAGAATAAAATGAATCAAAATTAGCTTTACCTCTGACCTCTTGACTAAATGATTTTTTTTCAATTTGAAGTGGTGAGAACGGGCGAGAAATGTGTCCATTAATGTGAGAATGAAGTTTGTCATAAATCATTCATGAAGTAATAGCTATTTTTCGTGAGTAGAATACTAAAATTTTTCTATAACTATCAACAGGAAAAAATAACATTCATTTGTGAAGGATATCCCGAATGAGAGATATATCTTTAAATTTCATAACAAGATTCAACCTAAAGCGCATCCAAATATAATTTCAATTTTTGTTATTTTATTCAATTTCGAATAGTTTGAATAATGAGTGGTTGAAAAAAATAAAAGATACACACCGCAGCTGAGATATCAATCCAGGTTCACCTTTCTAACAACTACTCCAAGAAGTGGTTTTCAAATTAGTGCCACAAGAAACTACTTGAGTAACTAATCACTCTCGTTTGGTTATTATTTGAACTCTTCTGAATATTCTGACCCGTTACTTGATGAAAATTACCGGTACCAGTTACTGATGAAGTTACCGTTTAGTGAAACGAGTTTAATGTGAGAATTCTATAATTATCTTGGATTTGTACTTTTCAAAACTATCAAATTTTTTGCAACATTACAAATTTCTGGTAAGATATACTTATTTTCACTTCACGAGTCCATGTTTTCCTCCTTTTTTTTTTTCCTTAGAAACTATATATTTCATAACACAATGTCAATTCAATGATCGAGCTCAACATTTGGGAATTAATTTCGAAGTAGTAGGCTTACTTGCATTTGAAAATAATACTAACAACTACTCCAAGAAAAAGCTTACAATTTAGTGTGACATAAAGCTACTCAAGTTTCTAATCTCTCTCATTCTATTATTAGGTGACGAAGTATTGAAAATTATTAATTTTTTGGTCACAGTACAAATTTCTGGTTTTCACTTCCCGAGTACTTGTTTTTATTTCTGTTTTTCGTCAGAAACTATATATTTCAATACAAAATGTGAGTTCAATGATTGAGTTTGATGCCTGAGAACATATCCTTCTTGCGATTGAAAATAATTGAAACACAACTTTAGAGTTATGAATTTGCTCATCTGTAATTGGCCTCAAAAGTAAAAACTTATGAATGTGGTGAAACGTGATTGGTTCAAAGGTAAGAATTATGGTTCATTTTGCCTACTTACCCAATACGAAATGGTCACAAAATTGACGTTATTTCAATAGTCACAGAAAAAAAATATTCCCAAGTCGTCCTAGAAAAACAAAAAAAAATTATAAATGAAGTTAACAGAAAATTATTTTGATTTCGAATGCTATAATGATTCTCAATTGGTCATTCTTAAAGATTGAACAAAGTTCTTAGCATTTTATTTTTTCTTCTTTACCTTGTATATATTTTTCAGTAGATTGGTTATGATTTGTCTTCTTCATAATGACTTTTTTTTTATCTTGCCGAATGTTATCAGCTATTCTGATCATTCCCAATTTGATTACTGATACATTACTGGTACATGTGCTGATTAACGGGAAAACAGATTTTTTTAAACAGAAACATTAGTAATATCAAATATCTGAAAATGATGACACTATTACTGTCAATGTTCCAATTGTATTCCATTCAATAAATAATTTTCAATTGTAAAACTCAGAATACTTGTAAGTATTGTCCATTTTTTTTAAATTTCTTTAAAAAAAAACAACAATGATATGGCAAACATGTTTTCAGTTTTTTTTAACGTTAATCTGAGATTATTCGATAAACAACAAAGACAACTGTGTATACTTTAAAACTCAATTGAAAAATACATTATGAATATTCTGAACCTTCACTTTTTGAAAATCAGTAACAGTATCCATGATAATAATTATAGAATTTTCACAATAAATTTTATTAAAACACGTTTCACGACACGGTAGCTTCATCAGTTACTTGGTACATCAATCTAATCTACAATATATTTTATATTACAACAGTAGCTAATAATGAAACTCTTTAGATAAATAATTAAAAAACAGGTAGATTTTGAATAAACAAATAGGTACAATACGATCTTACTTCTGGGAGACAGGAAAAATATTGGCATTTTATGTCAAAACTTAATTAGAAAAATAATTAATTCTGGCAAAACAGGTACATTTAGAGTGCACAAATTATATTATTTCTAGGTAAACAGTCAATATATAAATATGTTGATGACATTTTATGAGAACAAGTTCAATGGTGGTGAATGAATAACTTCCTGTTGGTTTTTCAAAAAAAATTTGAATATTTGCGTTTTTTGATTTCTACAGAATCTAGCTGGTTCAATTTTTTTCGTCCTTTATTTCCAATGACTAACAGGAAGTTATTTATTCACCATTATTGAACTTCTCTTCATAAAATGTCATTAATTAACATATTTATATAATAACTGTTTTCCTAGAAATAATATTGTATTAATTTGTGCTTTCTAAATCTACCTTTTTTGCCAGAATTAATCATTTATCTAATTTAGTTTTGACAAAAAATTCCAATATTGTACATGTTTCCCAATAGTAATATTGTATTGTAACTAATTGTTTAAACAAAATCAATCTGTTTTTCCAAATTTATTAATTCATCTATTCCAATAACTGATGAAGCTACACGTAGCAAAAGGTATTTCAATAAAATTTAATGTGAAAATTCTATAATTATCATCATCGATAGTCAAAATAACAATCAACAAGAACCTGGATAGTTTCCAATGTGTTACCTTTTCTATTTAGATAATTTTATACCTGCAAAAGCTGCTCCACATTTGAGGCCCAATATAGCAGAGACCAGAGATAGTTCAAATACTATTGGAACAATATTAAAAACCATGGCTGATAGAACAAAGTTAATCCCTCGTGATCCTCTGTCAATTGTTTTTGACAGAGCTCCTGAAAACAAAAGTAAAGCAGTAGTTCTTGTGCTGAATCTACACAGAAATTTTGGGAGGGTAACATAGAGGGATATTCAAGTTTGAGTATGCATAGAGACAGTTTGATCTTCCTCTTGAAGATGATCACTTGGTGATCGAAACACGTTATGCATAGAGACCAGTTTGATCTTCCTCTTGAAGATGATCACTTGGTGATCGAAACACATGTCGAGGAGTTAAAATAACTGTTTGGTGTTGGGAAAAAACTCCAGTAATATTCATAGAGACCTCGTCAATGGTAAGAGGTAGAGTCGGTTGAATTGAAGCAATGTTGACAGTTTTGAAATACTATTGAATGATATCATAGTTTTTTTGGTTCCTATATGTACGAACAAAAGTGAAAAATGCGAAATTTGTTTCTTGGTTTTGGCAGTCTTTATTCGCAAAGACATTGGAAATTGACCCCTATATCCTTTAATTCGTTCATGTACCACAAATTATTCTTGATAACTTTTTTGAGACTCTATTCTTATTTGAGTAAATAATACACAAAGTACTGAACTATGTTTACATCACAACACTAATATTTTCATATAATATTTTTATGATGCATGTCAATAAATTGTTTTGAGAATCAGCTGTGATACACACATTGTTTCCATTCGTACTATTGTCAGTTTCAATAAAAGAAAATGATAAAGTACTGAAACTGTTATGTAGAAGTAGGTAGAAGTGCAAACAAAAAAGATACAACCAAAAAAGATTTCGAAATTTTATGGTTTTACCTTTATATTTTTTTAACCAAACAAGGTAAAGTTGAATTTTTCTTACCATTCAATTTTGATAGCCCTGTATGTGTGTGAAAAAACTGATATCTGAATCTCTTCAGAAATCTGAAGCAACTCACACACTGCATTCAGTGTAACCAAATGCGAGCTTGGCATCTCTGATGTCACGTAGGTGGCTATAGTTGTCTTGGTGGTCATGTTGGTTGAATCCTTCTAACACAAGATCTCCCGACTGAATCCATAAATGTTGAGGTCTGGCTCCTATTGCTGACCCTGCATATGTGTGTTTTGTACAACCAAATGCTGTCTGTCCATCCTTGCATTGATGTCAACTAGCTTGAAATATGTATCTACCTTTTACCTAGTTGGGTCTCTTTCTATTTCAACTTACTTTTGACATTAAAAATAATTTTGAAAATAAAAAAGATCATATTATTTCAATATTTCACACTACAAAATTTTTTTTCAAATATTGCTCAATATGTATGAGTTTATTGTTCAAACCAACGTTTTTGTCTAAAAAGGGATATTTTTCATTGTATTAGACTCTCGGTAACAACTTTTTCAACCACTCTTCCATAAATTTTAAAAACTGAGATGGCACTGATTCGAGGTTAACATCATTATGGTTTCATGGAACATTATTTTAATCCTATGAAGAGGTATGGTTCACACTGTGCCATAATAATATCAAATTATTGGACTATTAACATTTGTGTGTCCCTCATTGCCATACATTTTTCTATTTTTTTTTGTATTCCCATAACAAACTATGCTCTTTGCAATATAATAATAATATTTATTTATTCAATTGGATCATCTATAGATGACATTGAGTATGTCAAAACGTGTACAAATACAAAATTAAAAATACAAAATCTGTGCACTTAGAGGCACAATATACAACATACATAGATAATATAATATATTATAGTCAAAACCTAAAATAATCTGCTATTTATGCAACAGTATCGTTATTAAAATCGGCCTAAAATGTTGGACATGTACATAATATATAATTGTTAAAACCAAAAATAATCTGCTATTTATGCAACAGTATCGTTATTAAAATTGGCCTAAAATATTGAATATGTGTGTTGGCACTTCCAACTGTAGGGAAATTCTAGTATTATAGTTCTTATAACCATTAAGAGTAGGAAAACTAGTTATATGGTTTTACATATTTTAATATCTCATAAATGTATATACTTGTAACAGTCAATATTCTGAGATTTTGACAGATGAGTTTGCAACTTCTCCCTCTAGAAACTCCAGTTATATACCTTGTGGTTATTTTTTGAATTTTGAGTATTCTGGAACGATCACTAGATGCTCCCCAAGCTATAATACCATAGGAAATGTTACAATGAAAGTATTCATGGTAGTACGTTAATAAGAGTGATCTATTTACATTCCAGCGTAGTTGTTGAATACAATAAGATATTGAGGAATCTTTTTACAAATCGTATCAATATGCTTGTTCCATTTGAGATTTTCTGTTATCGTCAAACCCAAAAATTTTGTCTCCCCTTGTTGTTGTATTGATCCATTAATTGACGTTACTAGTAAACTGTGATCTGGAGTGGTTCTTGAATGATTGAAACGTAAAAGCACAGTTTTTCTTTCATTTAACAAAAGACCATTGTCTAAGAACCACATTTGGGTTCTTTTTATTTCATCATATGCTTTATTAACTGCGGCTTTAATATTTTCCTGAGTTATCAATAAAGATGTGTCATCAGCATACATAACGAACTGATCACTATAAAAATCATTTACATATATTATATATAAGAGTGGACCTAGTATAGAATGGATAATTCACAATTAGAAGTATCACTTGAATTTATGGAGTAGGACAAGTTATTCAAAAGGTCCAAAATTATGAAAAATAACTTTGCATTCAGACATATGTGTTAAAGAAGGGTTTTCCGTTGACGAGCTGTTGTCTTCATATGAATGACAACTCTCAAAAGTTGAAACTAGTGCGAGATGAGGATTCTGATCTTTCGACGTGAGACTCCTAGTAATAATAATAAATAATCCATAAAACCATCTTTGACTAGTTCGAGTACATTGGCGATAATTTTTATTGAACTGTTTTCCAAAATGTTCATATATAATTTTCATACAGTATCAAATCAGTGATTGAAACTTTGCCGAGATAAGTCAAAAGCTGAATACAGATTTTACTTCCCTTACTAGGCAGTGAGGCCTAAGTTCCAATTTATGAGTATATTATATACTGGACAGGGCCAAGCTCGCTCTATTATTTCAGATAACACTGGACATTGAAGTTTGAAATCAAAATAAATTTAAGGAGATTACATCCTAGATTCTAAGGAATTTTTTTTAATATCCCTTCAAAAAATGTTCAAACACTTCAAGATGGATCTGAATACACTATAAATTTAAATATCAATGTGGCCCTGTCTTAGAAATCTGGAGAACCATGGTTTTGATTTTATATTAGTCAAACACAATAGCCTAAAAAGAATATGTTACAAAAAATGTATAAATGGGAAAATTTAAATGTCCCAATGCATTTGATGACCTTACCAGATTTACAATAATAATACTTTGAGTTCTAGGATAGACAAGCTTTTTGAGACTCTTTCCATTGAAATGATGAACATTTTTCTTGACTTTTCTGTAATCCTTACAAACCTATTTATTATATTTATATGCCAATCCTAGAAACTCTTAGAAAAAGATAATAATATATTTTTCCCCAAGATATTTTTAATGTCTTCAAGACTTTCAAAGTGTAAACATTCATAAAAATACATCTCAAATTAATGCCGTATTATTGTCAAGTGTTTTCTTGAAATTTTCAGAACAGCGTGAACATTTATATGGTTTTTACATTGTTTTCACGATATTTCAGTATTGGCTTTTTGTCATTTGGAATATAATGTGGAGTGTATTATTCTGTATTTAGTGTATGAAAAGTTGAAGTATTCATACTGCAATGTCGATGGGATTGGATATTGTGACTTGTATATGTAAAAAAACTGATACAAATATATCCCAAAAAAATTTACCTGTCTGCCTTTGAAGATGGAATCCCAAATCTAGATTATGTAAGTGAAGAAACACGTTTTTGGCAATTTTTCTAATAGATCCTTGAGCAACTTTGGCAAATACTGCATTTCTGAGTTCATTGAAACCTGTTGCTCCCATTCTTGCAATACCATCTAAAACGTTATATTATCAGAAAAAATGGTATAGCGCTTGTTATTAGGTATTTCCCCTTTTAATTTACCAATTTCATTAACCGAAAGGTCTTTGGAATAGTGTTTTCTCCATAAATTCATAAAATAGTAAAATAGTCTACTGTAAAAAAAATCATCACTTTTGTAATTATAAATGTAATTATGACAATATATTTATAAGTGAATAAAAAAAAATCGAATTTAAGATGAAAAAACTAATGAGGTGTAACAATCATATCATTTTGAATAAACTTGCTTATCTTTGAATATTTTGGTAAAAATACTACTAATACCATCTATCCAGCTGAGAGTAGTTCAACTTGATGGTTTCATTTTCATTAGTTCGGACTTCTATTGTCTGATATTTTATAAAATGATTTGAAATCCCTGAAAAACCTAAAAAAGAAGAATCAAAAATGAATAGCTGAAAATAACAATTATATTTAGCAAAAAACCTGAAATTAAATAATAGTGAAATAGAATACAAGTGAGTGCGGAAAATCCTATATCGGTGAAACTAAGAGGCCATTGAATGTTCACATTGCCGAGCACAAGAAACACACACAGTGAGGAAAAACTAGCAAATCAGGAATAGCCTAGCATGTTTGGACCCATCAACATAACATCGAGTGGTCCCAAGCTGAGATCATACACAGAGAGAAACATTGGTTTAGGAGGAAATTCAAAGAAGCTGCATACATGTTGTCCATGAATACATGTTGTACATGTATTCAGCCAAGCTAGCTTAGAGATACGCAACATATCGAAACCTATCATTAAGCGAAAAATGGCCAACTCCCGCCAAACGGTCATCTCCCACTAAACCAGTGAAGTGGAAAAAGGAAAGTGGAGAAAGTGAAAGTACTCGAATAACCCATAAATAGTCATCTCTCGGAGGAATCAGTCCAGTCATCACATGAAGACGATTGTGGATACCAACAATCGAAACCTCGTGAAGTAACTTGGCTTGGATTCTCTTAACTTTTTATTTTTATTTTTTGTTCAATTGTTCAATTTTTACTTGTATTCTATTTCACTATTATTTCATTTCAGGTTTTTTGCTTAATATAATTGTTATTTTCAGCTATTCATTTTTAAATCTTCTCTTTTAGTTCTTTCAGGGACTTCAAATCATTTTATATGACAATGAAATTCAACTAATGAAATTCATCATGAAACATTGTCAATCACCTTCAAGTAAACGTTGATGGTTTTAATAGAGTCACTTAATTGAAATTCAGCAATAAGCACCTCTGTTGGTAAATAGTGCAACTAGCATTGTCCTTTATTTTGACTGCAAAAAATTGTATCAATTTTTCAATTGAAGGCGAGTGGCTTTCTCGTTTACTTTTAAAATTTACTGCGGGTGTTGAGTTCTCGGATAACCCCACCATATTCAGTTATAATTATTATTATAAGAATATATCAGAATATATTGCGGATTTGGCATCACACCGTATATGTTTATTTCCTCGCGCCTATCGTCAAGGGGACTAGCCAAAAAATTGCTCTCCGTGATATACGAATAGAATGTTTTGAGTATCCAAAATCAAAGTGACGATTTACGTGTGCTCCTTTATACCCACGAAGCAATCAACACCCTTACAGTCCACTCTTCGCTGCTGATTGGGCGGATGCATCCCCTTTACCCGGAAGCTGCAGAGTAAAAGCAGGTAAGGTGAAAACCTTTGACGATTTGATCCGAAATTTTGGAGATACATGCCAAACTCAATCAATTCCGCAATAGTGGGTGACTGATGCATTAGGGCCAGGTGTTGCTGACCTCTGGGAGTTCGTGACTCTAATTTGCTTGCAATTCTGTTTGTTTGACTTCAATTATGCATTCATTCAATGTTAAAGTCGATTTGTTTTCAACTCTTTTAAGGTACCACACGGCCAAAAAAAGTGGCCGAAAATCTGTCGGGCGAATATTGTGCACAAATATAATAATAATCCAGCATATGCGGTTTCGACCTACATCCATCGACATAACGCAGCCCTAAGCGTGCTTTATTACCTCCTACGGTACTCTTACGGTATTGACGAGACACAGGTGTTGCCCTACGCTACAGGAGATATTGAATCCGTTGTGGAGACGCGAAGTGCCGAATTTATTGGAACTATTCGTTCCCTATCCACAGTCTCACACAAGCTAATAAGCCTGATGTAGTCCTTCTTGACCACCAGAGCAAGACGATATTTGTCGTGGAGTTTTCAGCTAATGGCAAGACAAATATCATCCGAAAAGAAGAGGAAAAACAGATAAAATATCGAGATTTTCTCTCGGGCCTGACCAGCGCAAACTTGGGGAAAATAATAATAGCCTTTATTACCCAACAGCTAAAAACCATTTACAGGGTTAACTAAGTATGGTAAAAAAGTAATTTAGGTGCTTCTAACTACAAAGTTACAGTTTGAGGAAATGAATAACAAAAATGTAATATAATAAAATAAAAAAACTACAATATATCCTATGGAATCAAAATTGATATCAAACAAATTTGAAATTGAATAGAGATTTTTGTAAATGCTAAAGATGAGGACTTAAGGTACAAATTGGTTCTGGCCAGTCAGCTGTAGAAAGTATTTATACTTCTAGTTCTAAAATGAGTCACAAAAAATTTATAAAAGATAACACCTCCTCAGCTTCTACATTGCTGTGCAGTAATTTATATAGATACATTATTTCAGCAAATTTTCTGCATAATTCAAGACTTTCAATTTGAATGTTATGGTTAAAATTTGAGGTAAATAAACTTTAGGAAACCCACGTTGAACTTTTTCAATTAATGTATTATAGTAATTGTAGAATGAAGATAATAGAACAGAGCCATATTCTAAATTTGGCCTTAAGTAAGCTATATAAAGAGTAATTAGAGAAAATATGTTTGAAAAAGATCTACAATTGCAAACTATAAAGCATTAAACTCTCAATGCTTCACTTACTTTCGATCTAATGTGGTTTGAAAAAGACAAATTGTGATCAAAATATAGACCAAGATCTTCAATTGAGTTACTACGTGAAAGTGAAATGGTATCTATTACACAACAAAAGGGCTGGTGAAAAAAAACGCTGAAGAAATGAGGTCCCATGCAATTAGTTGCGTGAAAAGAACATCATATAGAAAAATTTATTGAATGTATCTTGACTTTTTTGTTTCAATCAAGTTTTTAGAATGGATGGATGTGTCTCGATTAGTTGTTGGGGTAAATACATATATTTTGATGCCATATAAACTACGGTCCAAAAATATTCTGTTACGAAAGAACGAGGTGTTGAAGTTTCAAGAAACAAATGAAAATTATTTAATATTTCTGAAATAATTAGGGATATTTCAATAAGCAGTGACAATTGATAAAATTCCATATTTTTCAATAGAAATATAATTTTCATCTTGAACAGAGGCGTGGGTACGGGATTTAACTTCGATATTTTTGAAGAAAGAAGTATATGTCTACCGATTTTTATCAAATAAATTTTATTTTTGAACTCTTTGTTCAATTTAGAATGAAAGAGTAGCCCTATGTTTTTTCATGATAAGTCGTTTTTAAGTAAAATAATAAAAATCCTTGTATTGTCAACAGTGGCATATGTTCGGCCATTAACTTGGACATTTTCTATCGGTACGTTGAATGTTAGTCCTCAAATTGTTGTCTTCCATTTCAAGAGTGAATTTCAGTTTCGGATGAAACTATGAAAAATATCTAATATTTCAATTTGTATAGTTTATGGAATGGAAGTATCAATATCGTCAACATATCTTTTGAAAAAAGGCAATGAAATGACAACTTTTTTTATGTATATATTTTGTATTTCTGCCATGACCAAGTCTGCACAAATGGGTGAAATACAATTACCCATTCCCAACTTGAAAATTTGTGTGTAAAAAGATCCATTGTAACATAAATAATTGGAGTCTAGACAGAATTCAAAAACTTCTATGAAAAGATCCATGGTAAAGAGGTAAAGTTTGAAATGATTTCCCATTTTCTTTTAATTATACTAATTAAGAGATCTACAGGAATGTTAGTAATAAGAGATAAAACGTCAAGAGAATTCAAAATATAATTTTTAGGTATAATTTCATTTCTGATAAAATTAGAAAATTCAAAAGAATCTTTCACATAGAATGAATCTTTTTTGAAACCGTGTGTCAATATTTTGCTAATCCATTTAGAAAGCCTATAGACAGGAGAACCAACAAAACTAAAAGTCTAAAAGGTATTCCATCCTTTTTGTTAAAAAATACATTTTAGGAAAAACTCGTTGCATGTGAGGTATTTGGCACATTTGTCTATATATTTATTTTCATGCAGTTTTTTAATCAGTTTTTAGGAATTGTTTTGATTTTTTTTTTGTTGGATCTTGTGGTAAAATCTTATAAGTGCAAGGGGTATACTTTTATGAGAGATTAATTTTTGAGAAAAGTTTTGGTTTTCTACTTCTCCATCTTTATACAAAAAAAAATGGGAATCTTCCAAACAAAGGAAGGAAGAAAGCAATTTCAAAAAATACCTCTATACAAAATATAGATCATACAAAGAAGTAACTTTCAGACACAAACTAGAAGAAAAGCGTTCTCGAAACAGTATAGAAATAATTTTTTTAAATTGATTGCTTCCTTCTTTTCTTTAAAAGATTCCCTAATTTTTTTTGTATAAAGATGGAGTATAAGAAAGCCAATTTTTTTAATATATTCAATTCATACATTGAGTATGAGCTGACATGTCCAATACCACGTAGTTGCTCTTTAGAATGTTTATATTTCTTTCTTTTTTCTATGATATCTGGAATACTCACATCCAACTAGGAGACTTATGGCTATTGTAGTTGCTGTTTCAGGAGCCGAGTCCATATTTAATGTAGAACTGGCATTCAGATAATCTACAGCATATTTAAATGTAAATGGGACACATACATTTGCTGCCTTAGCTGCTATTAGTAATCCTACTGCGAGTTTTACCCTGTCTCTTATCATTTTATCATCTTTTGGCCAGATATATTGTAACATACTCTGCATCATTTGTCTTCCAGAAACAACATCTTGGTCTTTCAAAGGTAATGATTCTCGAGAGAGAACTGAAGCTCCTGGGTGAAAACATCCCCTAACAGGTTGACTTTTGGGAGTGCTATTGAAAGCTCCTTTCAATGTAAACGCCAAAATACCACCACTGGATTTGGATTTTTCTTGTGGCTGTTCCTTATTTGTAGTGCACCACTGAAAATCAGAAACTAATCAATTACAGCTCATGGTAACGTCAACTAAAAAACAGAATTGTGAATTTTGAACACTGTCAAAAATATCCCCATCAGTATTTATTTGAAGACCAAACCAAGAGGTTTTTTGGCTGTGTTTAAAACTGGAGAATTTCGCATACAAAGTGATTTAACCCAACCATAGATAACAAAGGGGGCGAATGGTTGTGAATGAATATTCCTGAAAATCTTTGAATAAAGAAGTTATATAAAGACTTACCCTTGAATTATAATAAGAAGATGTGGGGTGTAAGTTTCGTTTGGAATGAAATTGAGTAAATTTTCTGTGTATATTAACTATTCTGAGATTAATGCCTAAAAATTGAATATTTATTTTACTTAAATTTATTATAGCCCCCATTTCACAAAAATTGAACTTTGAAATATGATTTGACAGCTTGGCGCATGTGAGAACGTCTGTAGACAGCAACTGCCATCGATAATAACAGCTATATATAACACAGAATAAAAACGAATGCCTAGTTCAGTCTCTAGCCGTGGTGAGACAATTAGCAACGTCTCACAGTGACATACATTGTCAGATGAACAACAAATTTGTTGTGTGAAACGTTCTCGCTAAACAACTGTCAAGGCAACATGATGACCTCTCGAGATATCACGATACGTTTTGCAATATCGCTTTGAGATGTCCAAGAAAACGTCTTGACGTCGTTGTTTCATCATACTCAAAATTTTATGGTGAGAATATCAGATTGTGATATCGTGAAACTTTACACTTTAGTGTCGAAGAGATTAGTGATATATAACACGGGAAAAATATCTTTTTGTAATTTTGACACAATATGCTAATTCTGAAATAACATCAAACTCCTACAACGATATTTGATTTTGATTGTATGAATTAAAACTGGAATACAAATAATTCTCTAGATGAACACCTTCAATTATTTATTACACGTACTTTTTGCCAACCATTTTGGTATCATTTCACATCTGAAGAGTCTGCTTATTTGGCAAAATGTTTAGGCCATCAAATTCATTTGTATCAGGGGCCGTTCAAGTATTACAAAAGCATATTTATTAAAATTATTCGCAAAAGTAAGCGAAGCTCCTATCCCCCATTCCATGTTTACGTAAACATTGTTTTATGGTTTTTTTACATATTCTGTTTTTTTATCACTTCATGAGCAGCAGTTATAATTTTAGAAATGACAAATGAAGAAATAGATTTAGCATAGAGGAACGCACATAATATTTATTTGAATAAACTTTTTTGACAGGGTTTTCAACAAAAAGTAAGGTACAAATATTATACTCCTTAGTAATATTACGAACAAAAGAAACCTTTTTAAGATTTTTGGTATACCTACATATTAATTCCAATTAATATGTCCATGACACCCGAATCCATGATTCTAAGTTTTCAATGACATTGCATGTTTGCTGCTCAATGTTGTGTGTCTACTCACTCTCATCCGATTTTGAAATGTCTACGTTATTCTTATCGAGCCATTCAACATCGTGTTCCTTTAAATTTTGAATAATGGACCTCAGCTCATCAGCACGACGAGCAGCAACTTTTATAGGTGTAACTTTGACATCAGCGTGTTTACTTTTCTATGGATCTTCTCGATGCTCGATGTAACGATTTAGCAGAGACAACCAACGAGACTGTTAAGTTAATAGGAAAAATGGTTCTGTTGTGAAGCGATCGCTTCAATCAGGTCAACTATTCATCGATCCTTTTCTGGCACGTTATCTCTTAAGGAGAGTAGCTCTCTTTAAATATATATTTCTTCTTTCTCTTGTTCATTAGATTTGTAATTAAACTATTTCCCTTCAATAATTNAAGAACATGTATTTACATTATTATATTAACATGAATTAATTTTTTGTAAATAAAATATTTTGTTGTCTTCTAATTTGTTGTCTTTTTTATATATTATTTATTATGTTTAACCAAAAAAGTATGTTTTATTCAAATAATAAACATTAATTATAGTCCTAAAAATCAAGATAAATGTATCAAATAGCAGCAACATTTATACTCAATTTCTTAGTAACGGATATAATTCTACACATAACTAAAGATATTTCATTATAATGGGAAACATAAATCAGTAGCTTGTCTGCGAAACACAACAAATCTCAATTATCTGAAATTGAGTTGGGACTCTATTCTAATATTGCAAATAGAATAACATCGAATGGATATAAGTTAAAATACTTATATCCAATCAATGTTATTCTATTATTGATACTAGAACTGAGTTCTCACTCAATTCCTGTTAATTGTGGAATTGTTGAGTTTTGCTAACAAGTAACAACTAACTGAAGTTTAAACGGGGGTCTAGAATACCTGGCATAATATTTGAATTTTCCCGCCACACTTTCAACTTTCCGAAGAGGACACGAATAATGCCGAAGCTATGCAACTTGACTGCGTGTCATAGAACTAAAGTCTGGGGTTGTTAGTTCTATACTGCACGCCCTCTACAAATGGCTTTCTTTACAGTTCGCCAGTGCAGTTTTCACCGATCAAAATTTTATCATTAAGTTACTCGTCTCGTTGGTTGTCTCTGGATTTAGTGACTTGACGGAAGCATGATAAGGACCTCACGTTCTGCATGTTCGACTTGATAATACCGTTGGACAAAAATAATCGTTAGGCATTTACCGAAAATCTATGAGTGAATCATTTAGGCGTAGAACTACATTGACTGGAAGATTGAGAAATTGCCCTCCATCATCCAAAACCAAGTCATTAACTGTTTGTTTTAATTTTACTGGTAGTGAAAGAAACCTGTTGTCTATTATGTAAATAAAACGTTTTTGGCGATTTCTGATATTTCTAGTGTAGTGTAACATTTCTAGTACTTATTATATCTGAAATAGTTTCATCAATAACCTTGGAAGAAAAGTAGTAGATTGGATTTATTCTTATTCGCAGCTTGCAGTTCTTCCTCAATTCTCTTAGAGACTATACTATCAAGTTCCTTGCTGAATTTTGCTTGTAACTTATAATTATTATGAACAATTATTTCTTTCTCTTGAAGATGACCACTTGGTGATTGAAATACGTGTTGAGTTGTTACAAATAACGGTTTGGTGTTGGGATAGAACTCCGGTAATATCCATTACAACATCGAAAGTTCCAAACAGTGCATCACAAGTTTTCAATGTATATTGGATTATGAGCGGCGTAAACACAATAACTGAAAATAACTAATATCTTCCAGAAAAGTTGCGAATAACATCTTGTTGATATCAAAAAGTAAATGGAATATCGTAAAGGCATCTACAATCTTCCTCTGCTGAATATCTGCGATGAATGTCATGTCAACATCTATATGACAATGTGATTTCATTATGATTTCGATGAAAAAGTTTTGTTTGCTGGATGGGCATGAAAAATACATAAGTTTGTAATTATAGATTCTATTCAGTTCTGGCGATGAAATGAAATGTGTAGATAATTCTTGACTACTTTTCATAATCTCAATTTCAAGTTTCAGTCATGGAAAAAAATCATAAATCAGGCGCATCGCGAATTCTATCAAACCGATTTTTTCATATACCCGATTGTTTAGCCATTGAGTCTATATACAAAGGTTTAGCTTATGCCAAGACTGAAATGAAAATTTTCATCCATTTCTCCACTAGATATCGCTATGAGTACCTACTTTTTTGGCGGATTTGAAATTTCGGATTTTCCAATTTCGTTGAATGACGAAATTAAGTTTCATTTGTAGTTCCAAATGGTTTTCACATTTTCATAACGGTACTTGATGAAATCAAAATATCATCAAATCATAGTATAAAGACTGACAAATGTACACCATAACATTATCATCGATTAGTATTTTAATACAGAGGAAAAACATATTTTGATGTCGGGTTCACCAATTTTCATTAAACCGTGTTTCATACCCAAACAGTTTTTCAGCAGTCATTTAGGAATCACCAAACCACATTTTTGCTTGTAACAAATAACAGAGACAACCAACGAGACGAGTAACTTAATGATAAAATTTTGATCGGTGAAAACTGCACTGGCGAACTGTAAAGAAAGCCATTTGTAGAGGGCGTGCAGTATAGAACTAACAACCCCAGACTTTAGTTCTATGACACGCAGTCAAGTTGCATAGCTTCGGCATTATTCGTGTCTTCTTCGGAAAGTTGAAAGTGTGGCGGGAAAATTCAAATATTATGCCAGGTATTCTAGACCCCCGTTTAAACTTCAGTTAGTTGTTACTTGTTATCATAACTCAACAATTCCACAATTAACAGGAATTGAGTGAGAACTCAGTTCTAGTATCAATAATAGAATAACATTGATTGGATATAAGTATTTTAACTTATATCCATTCGATGTTATTCTATTTGCAATATTAGAATAGAGTCCCAACTCAATTTCAGATAATTGAGATTTGTTGTGTTTCGCAGACAAGCTACTGATTTATGTTTCCCATTATAATGAAATATCTTTAGTTATGTGTAGAATTATATCCGTTACTAAGAAATTGAGTATAAATGTTGCTGCTATTTGATACATTTATCTTGATTTTTAGGACTATAATTAATGTTTATTATTTGAATAAAACATACTTTTTTGGTTGAACATAATAAATAATATATAAAAAAGACAACAAATTAGAAGACAACAAAATATTTTATTTACAAAAAATTAATTCATGTTAATATAATAATGTAAATACATGTTCTTTCATTTTATTGTTTTACGAGTGCTCGAACTTTTGTAATTTTTTAGCATGTGCATACTGTTTTTGTTCTCTATGTTCACGCATTTTTCTCTTGCACCACCATGGAATGCCTATTTTCCAAATTCCTTTAATGATAGAATTTTTGATTAAATTTGCATGCTCAACACAGCTAATC